GTAATAAAGACACCGGCGGGTTGGGACCAGCAGTTGGCGTAACGGCTATGTCGCTGGACTCCCACTAGTCGGCTGCGGTTCTAGTTCTGAACCCGGTGGCTTAAACTCATGCCGGGCGCGTGTGCGTGCGTGCCCAAGATCCCGAGAAGAGAATGGAGGAGAAGGGATTGCGGCGTGGCCGTCCCCGCTGGGGGGTGATTTCTCGCTTTCTGTCTCTCTGTCTCTCTCTGTCGGGCAAGCACACGTGCCCTATAGCAAAAACCTCTCAAAAAAAAAAAAAAAGAGAGAGACAGGCTGGTGTGCTTACATCTTCCCGGTAACTGCGGCCCTGCGAGGGACACGAGCAGCCCCATTGGACAGATGGGAGAACTGAGGCCGGCCAAGGACAGAAGCCCATCACGACCACAGGGCCTTTTATTTATTTATTTGGTTTTTTTATCTTTCCAGAGGGCCTGTGCACTTGTCAGAGAGAGAGAGAGAGAGAGAGAGAGAGAAAGAGAAAGACGACAGACAGACTGACAGACTCTCCCCATGGGGACGGCCATGCTGCAACCCCTTCTCCTCCATTCTCCTCTCACACACACACCTGGCGTGAGTTCGGATGGGCCTGGGAGTCCAGACACTTTCCAGTATACAGTGACCCACGAATGTCCGAGCATGTGACTACTGGCGTAGTGAGGGGCACAGCGGGCCCGGCTTAGAGGGACTGCATGATGTGACCCTTGGTGAGCCCCGTAGGGATGGGCAGGCCAAGCACGGCAGGGTGTTAGACCACCTTGCAGTCTGTTTGGAAGGATGAGGCATAGCCGTGGGCCGAGACGCTGGGGGCCAGAGTCTGAAATTAGTCACCTGCTATGTGTTCATAGCAGCGTTTTCCAAAGAAACGTGACCGTCCTGTGGACGCCAGAGAACGCTCTCGGAACACAGAGCAGTGGAGAAGATGGCGACTTTCGACCCAGAGTTGGAAATGCTGTCTTTGCGGGCGCGGCATGGCCGCCTTCAGACAGGCCGCGAACACCCGCGTTTGTGACACCGCGTGCGCGTGTGTGTGAGCCTGTTACAGTCAGGTTTTTTGGAAGGTCATGGCCCTCGAAAGGTTAGGAGTTCCCCGTCCAAGAGAAAGATTACTGACTGGAGTGAGCGGGACCTGGCTCTGCTTCCCAGCCAGCACTTCTGGGCCCTGCTGCCTCCCTCGTAAAGCCCGTCAGCAAGAGCCTACAGCCTGAGTCCCGCGATCATGCGGGAACAACCCAGCTGCAGTGGCACCGCCGTCCCACGGACCAGGCGCAGCTGTCCTTGTGACTCCCTGGCCAGGTGGAGGCTCGTGTCATCCTCACGTGGCCCTACGAGCTGGACGCCATTCATTTCCCCATTTTACAGCTGAGGACATCGAGGCCCCCTGAGGCGAAGTAACTCGCCCTGGGACACCAGGGCAGGCAGCGAACACAGAGCCAAGGTTGAACGTGGGCATCCGGATGCCCCTCCCCGTGCCCCATGCCCGGTTCCTGGCTGCCTGCCCTTCCCAACAAGCGTGGTGATGCCTGGAGTGTCACAGGGAACGCGGGCTCTGCAGACTTCAGTCTCCTCCCCGTGCCCTGCCCACCGTCCATCTGTTCTCCTCAGGAAAGGAAGACTGCTGGCCGCCGGCCCTCCTGGCCGGCCCCTCTCCCCTCTGGGCCCTTTCCCCGTGGGGGAGAATGCCCAGCTCATTGTGTCGACATCCGCGTTGTGCCTTGGCCCCGGGGCCCGGGCAGCCTCAGCGCAGGTGGGGCCCATGCCCAGTGCCCTTGCCAGCCCCAGCCTCATCCTGAACTCTGCCAGGAACGCACTCGGGTCTCAGGGACAGGCCACCGGGCACCAAGGCCACGCGGGACGACACCCACAGACTGGAAGGCAGGAGCCCTAGCCTGGCCGGAGCTGGCTCTGATGCCACGGTCTGCGAGCCACAGGGATAGGGGCAGGTGGCGGGCGCAGGCCACGTGCTTTCCCCGAGTTGGCTCTGCCCCTGGGGCTCAGCTTCTCACACGGCCCAGTGCTCCCCTGGGTGGGCTGAGGCAGTGCTGGGCCCAGAGCGGTCCGGCCCCGGGTCCCCGGTCCCCGGGAGCTTCAGATGAGCAGCGAGCTCGGTCTGCAGCCCCAGCCGGGGATACTGAGCACGACTGTCACACAGTGGCCTCCGCCGTTACGCCGCGCTCAGCCAGGCTCTAGCCACACGCTCTCACTGGTGTTAACCCTACAGGGCCCTGGGAGGGGAAGGTCATGCTTACGCTAGTTCACAGAGGAGCAGACAGGCACAGAGAGGGCAAGCGACTCGTGTAAGGGCACCCAGCCACAGCCAGGTCAGGATCCCAGTCTGTGCCTCCACCTCCTGCCGCACTGAGTCGTGGGTCAGCTGACCCGTCTAACTGCCCTTACGTCCTACCCAGTGACCCGATCCCCATCCCGTGACCCCCTCAGGCAAACCGGCCAGCCTGAGCTTTGTCACGAGGACAGTGGTGCTAGGCTGCCAACCTCGCGGGGACTGACGCCTGTGGAGATGACAGGCAGCCCCGAGCTTCAGAATCATTTGACACGGAGCACTGTTGGTCGGAGTTACCGCCCTCCCGCTTAAGGCACTGGCCCTTGCTTCTCCGGGCTGCAAGACTCCCCGCTCTGCTCGTACTCCGTCCAGGCCAGGCTGAAGCAAGGCGCTCAGGGTGCCGAGGAACGAGACAGAGACTTCATAATCCCACATAGTAATGAGTGT